GGGTAGCTTACCCGAGGTTTGTGGAATAGCAGCAAGAGCTGCATCAACAATGGCAGTTGTGATGATTTCATTTTCTTCTTCAATAGAGTGTGCTACAGGCAGGACAGAAGACATTACACATTCCTGGAAAAGTTCCCAGTTTGCTATAGAAAGTTTCCATCGAGGAGGGCAACAGGGGAGAATAGGTGGGGGCTCTGTGGGGATGAGACGGATAGGGAAGTGGTCACTGCCACGTGGGTTGTTCAGGACAGTCCAGGTAAAATTTGTAAACATGGATGAAGAAACAATGGATAGGTCAATGCAGGAAAAGGAGTGGTGAGTCGAGCTGAAATATGTGGCCTCACCAGTATTTAGGAGACTGGCAGCTCTTCGGGAGAGAAACCTTTCTATAACAGATCCTCGGCTGTCGACCCGTTGACTTCCCCAGAGCGGATTGTGGGCATTAAAATCTCCTAGGAGAACATAGGGTTCTGGAAGCTGGTCTGCAAGGCGTTCAAGATCGGTCAGCGTCAGGGAAGATGAAGGGGGTATGTAGAGGGAGCATATGCTAATAAGGCGATCTAACATCAACCGTACTGCGACAGCCTCCAGAGAAGTGTCCAAAGAAATTTCAACAGCTGGTACCTTTCCGTCCACAATAATGGCAACTCCTCCGGAACTGCCAGATGTTGTTATGCGATCTTTGCGAAAGACTTGAAATGATCGCAGGAAATTACTTTTTGATGGTCCCAAATATGTCTCCTGGAGACATACTGCAGAGGGTGTGTACTCCTGAAGCAAGGAGTAAACATCATCCAGGTTGTGAAAAAGTCCTCTGCAATTCCACTGTAAAAAGCCTCCTGCCATAAAAATGTGTTAAGCTAAAAGGGGCGTTAGGAATGTGGACCAAATTTTAAAATCGCTAAAAATGAATAATAAAATTAATATTAAAAAGCAAGGTTATTCTGATCTCAAAATATTTATCACAATGCAATACACATAAAAGAGTCGACAATGTGAAATTGGAGAGCTCCAGAATTAAAATATATGGGGTATATACATGAAGAAAATTGCATGGGGTGAAATTAAACGCCTTGGGTAAAGGGTTCATTTCGGAGGCTTAACAGGCGTTTTTGCTTTGTTCTTGGGTTTTGGGGTCTGCCAATCCGTGTCTTCGAAGTCAGACAGGTTTGTGGACGGATCAGCAGCCTCAGCTGCTACTTCCATCTCCCTAGTTTCGCAGGCAGGTTTGCCTGCGGGCTTCGGTTGATCGGGCGTTCGAGAGGGCGGTTGCCGCCCTCGGCCCGATCCACAGGGAGGAGTGGAGGAGGAGCTGGGCAAATTGTCCTGCTCCATCGGTTCCACTCCATTAGAGCCAGGGGCCGTGCGAGAGTCGCGCAGCTCCCTAGAAGAAAAGCCCCTCCCAAGCGAGTTGGAGCGAGGGCTTCGCTCCTTCTCCCTCAGGGAGGGTCCAGGAGGGACAGCGGGCACGGCTGCTGCCGTCCCACTCTGTGAGAGGGCAGCTTGCGTGCTCCCTCGAGGTGTCTGAGGGGGCAGCTGCCTGCGTTCAGGAGTTGGGGCCTTGAGGGCCACTGCCAGCATCTCTGGCGAGACCTGGGTGGCCCTCGACTCCGAGCGTGGTGCAGGGCCCCTGCGCACCACCTCGGCATAGCCTCCCTTTGAGAGGAACGACAACCTTTTCTTAGCCTCTGGATATGTGATATTTTCCTTGGCTTTTAGTGAAAGAATTTCTTTTTCTTGTTTCCACAGAGGACAGGTGCGGGAGTAGGCTGGGTGTGGTCCACTGCAGTTACTGCAGCGGGCCACTGCGTCGCAGATGTCGGCGACGTGGTCCTGCCCTCCGCACTTCGCACAAGTCTCTTTTCCTCTGCAACTCTGTGAACTGTGGCCAAATCGTTGGCAGCGGAAACATCGTTGCGGGTTGGGGATGTAGGGACGAATGCGGCAGTTCAGGTAGCCTGCTTTGATTGTTGCGGGAAGAGCATGTTTCTCGAAGGTCAGGATGACGTGTCTTGATGGGGTTTCTCTGCCATCTTTTCGGAACATTATGCGTTTTACAGCGACAACACCGGCGCCTTTAAGTCCTTCAAGGAGTTCTTCTTCACTTGTTTATATAAGGTCGTCCTCGGAAAGAACTCCACGGATGGTGTTGAGTGTGCGGTGAGGACTCACCGACACTTTCACATCTACAATGTTTGTGAGCTTACATAATGCTTCGCTATGAAGTTTTGTATCCACCTCAACAAGGAGGTCTCCAGAGTGCAGTTTCTTGGCCTTATACGAGAACCCGATAAGGTGTTCCAGAACCTTTGACACAATAAAAGGAGATATCTTTGCAACGGGTTTTTGTTCATCTAAAGAATGAACAACAAAGAACTTGGTAAAGTTTTCCACAGGAGGGTCTTTTTCGATGGTTTTGTGCTCAAGGCAGCGCCTTTTCCAGGGCTGTCGTGAGCAGGGTTTAGGAGGAGGGGCAGTCATAAGAGGCGGAGAGTGTTCAGAACCTGTGGTGTGCCGCCCACCACGGAGCCCAACAAGGGAATAGTTAACGGACCATAACAAAAAGGGCTTTGCTGGAACCGTTAAACTATTAGCACTGCCCAGGTACTATAACCAAGTGTGGTTTTGGACAAGGGGTCTGTCGCCACCCAAGGTTAGCCCTTGCCGCCAAAGGAGTTGAAAAAGGAAAGAAGAGAAATGAGGAGAGTGAAAAGTATGAGAAGATAAGGGCGAAAGAAGGGAGGGGATAGTAGAAGTGGCGACTGACTGAATCATCCTGGTCGGGCCAAGCCAGGACTCCCGTCTACGGGAAGCGGGGGCCGAAGTGGTGTATTGCCTCGTCCGGGGGGCCCCGAAAGGTCCGAACCTACCCCGGACTCGGCTCAACCACCAGGATGCCCTTTTCCCCGGACACGGGAAAGCCACGCACAGCCAGACGTGGGCGGGCGAACCCGCATGGCTCGGGGTCCGTGGAGACGCCACTCTCCAAACACCTGCTTTCACAGGTGCCCCCTGCGGGGGCGATAAGAAGTAAGTGCAGGCCTCAAAATACTCAAGTTTGAAGGTTGGTAAGCAGGCTCGATGTAAACAGTAGATAAAAGGATGTATTAATAATTGTTACCAGTGGCCGTCACTGACTTGTTATGCCTGATTCACTTGGTCCGATTCTGCTTGAGATTTTCAGCATCGACGTCGACCATCTCAGCTACGGTTCACGCTTTTGCAGCCCGATCGACGTCCCGACTGAAAATTGCGAGCGAAATCTCATCATGCGAATCAGGCTTTAGCGTACATTCTGCGGCGTCCACGTGGAATGAATCGAAACATGTCACATTATTCACGCGAAGTTTTGCAGTGTAATGAGCCTCGGTAATTTCGCTGAGGCCGCTCAAGTAGTCAGACATCGCCAGGAAGACGTAGAATCTACAATTCGAACGCGAAAAAGGGCAGAGGGACTCACACAGACGCCGACAACATCACATTTCAATAGTTTGTTTATGGGCGACGGCGAGCTTCGTGCCCACACCCCCATCGCGCATGCGCAGCGCCGGTGGCGTCCGCTAGGGGCGCTCCGGTTTGTTTGTAAACATGAGTTGGTGTATAATTACCAGTTCGTGCTCGAAGTTCTGAGTTCAGTTGGGAAGGAAAGTGAATGAAGTACAGTCTCCTGCCATATGAAAGACCCACTGGAAGCGCATGGCCGAGATGGTGGCTGGCGGGGGCGCTGTGAGTGCTCCAGGCGATTTCGTTTTACTTCTATGAGAGGACTCACTTGGGGGTGGGGAGACACAGCTAAAGTACAACGCGCGCTTATCAGTTTCTTGTTTCGGTTTCGTGGCAAAGAGCAGTTCGGCTATGTCCTACTAATGCCACAATTGCTGCCTGAGATAGACCGGCCTCAACCATGGTGATAAAGCGTGAGGTTTGTGCCACCTTTCTGACCAACAAATGTGTTCTTCAATGCATTTTATCTTTTGAATATACGCCTCGGGTATAACTGTAATATTTGTTTATTTGGTAGTGCCTCTTCTGATATTTTACACCTGAAACAATGAATAAAAACACTGTGATGACTATGTTTATTTCGAGCCTTCGTGACCATATCTCTAGGCCGGACGGCAATGAAGGAAGCTCTTCCGCTAATCCAAACCCAAAACTGTTAAGCGTTTTCAGGCTCGATTAAGCCCCGAATGAGTATCCTTTCCTCAAGGCAGACTCGAATCGTCCGGAATGTGCATGGCCAAGATGGCGTCACTTGCCGCCATCTTGGCCACGTGCTTTCAGTGGGTCTTTCATATTGCAGGAGATGTACATTGCATTTAGAGTCTAGAAAAACGCTTCTCTTTAGGAGACTCCCATTCAATGAGAGCTCTCTCCTGTCGATCATGCTTATGCAAAGGTCCTTCTGTATCTACCCAGCACCGTGGAAGATGGCAGGAGTACTACAAGAATAGCAGTCACTTATATTCGGATTCCACCAGATGCTCGAATACCTGGTTAGTACCATATTTCCAAAAGTTCAGATGCCTAAAAAACCCTGTAAAGGTTTGCATCCTCAACAGGGTATGCTTGCACACACTGTGTACTACCGTGTCTGTTTGTATTGGCTGTTTATATAGTAAAAAAATAGGCTGAAATATAGTGGCTTCTGTTCTTCCTGCAAAGGGGCAGTTTGGCTGGTACGGTACAACCACTAACCCGGTCTTTATATGGATATTGTGCCTGTGTGATGCAAACGGATGCATGCTTGCACATAAGCGTGTGACTTGTGCGATTACATGAATAGATGCCAGTACAACACTTGCCCATAGTAATACTGACATAAGCGGAAACTGAATTCATCACGTAAAAGTCTGCAGCACGAGGTTTGTCGCAGACTGTTGAGCTGAAGTGCGCCAACTAAACGCGTGCGGCCACTGCATCACCCCCACCATGGCAGCACTTTTAAAAGCTTCCACAAGCCACACTTTGGAAGTTTGGCTAACAGCACCTTGACTCACCTTCAATGACTGCGTCTACCTTTCGCAAGAGTTCCACGCTGAAGATCTTTTGCACGAGGGGTGGCGACAGGCAGTCCAAATAGGCAAGACTGCGAGCAAAGTGTAGACCCTGGATCATGGGAAACTTCTGATTGTCCATCATCTCCGCCAGCTGGCCAGCGTACAGTGTCCCCAGTTCATCAAAGCACTGTGGCCTGAAATCCACTTTGGCGCAGGCCCCAACCAGGTTCATGGCGAGCTCGACGCTCAGTCCGCACTGCAGAGCAAACTCGCACAACACCTCGAGCGTTGCAGGCACGTACAGGTTGTGATCGGACACGCAGCCGAGTGTATGACGGAGGGAACGGAGCTGTGGATGCGACGCATTCTCCTCGAAGATTTCAGCCCACACCTGGGCATCCCCACGTGAGAGCGTCTGCTGTAGCTCGTGTTGGGAGGAAGAGAAAAACTTGCTCATGAGGTAAGAAGCCACCTGCAGGTCTGGGATATCGTGCCTGTTTGCCACGACGTGGCTGTACCAGATTTCTGGTACGTTGTGCCTCTGCAAAAGAAAAAGTAGACCTAATCACCAACCAGTTTGACTACGCCACCGCTACCGCAATGCGTCGAGGGAACTTTAGTCTTTCTGCACGTTCAACAACCAAGATGGAGCTCTGCGCATGTAGAGCGCGAGACTGCACAAGCCGTTTCTCTTGTCTACTGCTGTCTGCCTCCTGTGAACCGTAGCTGTGGCGACGGCGTCACGCATTCACGCATGCACAAAACACTTGGTAAGATCGGTCTGTTGACAAGATTGATCACGGTGTTGAGAACGCGTGCCACAAGTGGGCTTAGCACGTGCAGTGGTTACAACATGATGCTCAAAAGCCAGAAAAAAAGGTTCCTAGCACAAACATTGGGTTTAATATTTTTCAAGGCATGGCTCTGTGCTTGAATTCAGTAGATCAGTTGGAGTCATTTTGGAGAGGTCAAGATTTTATTTTAGAGCCTAAAGGGTACCTTCTGGAGCACAAGCATGAATATCAAGTACTTCATTCTCAATCAGTTCACTGCAAATGTTATCTCAAGATTTCTTTCTGCATTGCTAAGTCTAACTGAAAGAAAATGCTTCACTTCCCCACCTCTGTGCCCCACTCATTTGTAAACAAGGGACAATACAGTTTCATTGCCTCACTCAACTAGTTGTGCTTAAAAGCATCAGACATGGCAACAAGAATGTCGCAAGCGACTTTTTTTTTTTGTGAAGAGGCCCATTACAGGTTTCAATAAAAGTAACTCTTAATTCAATTAAAAAACAAAGCAATACACCTCAATTACATTTTCAATGTGTACTTTTATGAAGGAAAATCGGCATGTGGGCAATAAATATGCCTTAAAAAACCCAGCTGAACTCCTTATTGTTTTTCCTAAGCTTCCTCATACACTATTAAAGCTCATTCTGTGTTAATTTAAAGTTTAGTGACCATGCACCCGACCAGTTGAAGGCCTATTAGAGGCAGTACAGTAACTAAATGACTGATATGACAAATATTAAACCCACTGTGCAACCCATCTACACCTTATTAAAGTTTAATATGACTTGAATATGATCCATCCTACTTCATAGTCTCAAAATACTGCAAATTATATGCATCCCACTTATGTGCAAAAAGTGTAAAAGTCTGGCACCCATAACTTCTTTGCACCTAAAAAAGGGACGGTATAATTAATTCTTTTCTTTTCTTTCTGGGTGTAAAGGAAAGAGGGAGTATGAATTTGATTGCACTTTTTACATAGATGAGGCACAGTTATGCAATTAATTTCCGAATTTTTAGACTCCATGATGTAGGTGGAATATGCCTAAGCTTCCTCACACACTATTAAAACTCATTCTGTGTTCACTTAAACTTTAATGACCATGCCCCCAACCAGTCGAAGGCCTATAAGAGGCGGTAACTAAATGACTTATATGACATAAATATTGAATCCACTGTGCACCCTTACTTTGCTGCTGCCGGCATGAAAAAAGAAAAGAAAAAGGTTTTTGGATGTGAAAGAGAAACTTTGGGTAGAGCTTATAAATGCTCGCCATCTTTTTTAATCATATATACACGTAAATATACTACGATCCATCCTACTTCATAGTCTAAAAAACTGCAAATTACATGCATATGCACCCACTTATGTACAAAAAGTGTAATAAAGTCTGGCACCCTTAACTTCTTTACACCTAGAAAACGGAAGGTATAATTAATCCTTCCCTTTTCTTTCGGGGTCCAAAGGAAGGAGGGAGTATGAATTTGATTTCACTTTTTACATAGAAGAGGGACGGTTATGCAATTAATTTCCAAATGTTTAGACCCCATGATATAGGCAGATTATGCTAAAGCACAAAAAGACAAAGCTATAGACTACTTTAGTGCACTCTTCGATCCCAAATTTAAAACAAAAACATAATCATTGATGCATGCAATCAGTGGCATAAATCCAGAAAAATATTGGGGGGGGGGGGGGGGGGGGGGGTCACAAACTTTGCCATAGCAGCCCTCTTGATAACTGAAAATATGAATTTTATTTTACAAACAAATCAAAACTGCATACTAAAACAGAAAACAAGCACACATGTTCACATCTAGTGTTATTATAATATTGTTAATGATTTACAGTGCACAACAAACTAATCTTCTCAAACAATGTTTCAAACTCAAATTATATAAAAAAAAACTTTCAGTCTTTCCACTTGGTGAAGAAGGAAGACGAGCGGAGGAGCTGTAGCTTCTGTTCTCGGCGGTGGCTTTCCAGGTGAGTGATCTGATCTGCTTTCGCAAGAGAATCTGAAGCGCTCGACGCAGTAGAACTTTAGATGATAGCGGCCTTGCGGCAGTTAGGGAACCATTCGCGCTGCTGTGCACATCGCCGCTCATTCCGTCCCTGCTCTTCTTCCTCCGAAGAAATGTTGCCGCCATCTATGAGCGACGGCAGCAACCAGGTAGTCTGATTGTGGAGGCTGGAAAGGTTATTGCGATCTATGAGCGACGATGGCAAAGAGACAACCGGCAAACACAACACTCCGGACAGCTACCGCCATCTATGAGCGACAGCGGCAACCAGAGTGTTGTGTCGACCACGGGTGTCGACATTTGTTTAACACCGAACACGATCCTGGGGAAACTAGCCCTTAACGACTCCGCTGTAAAAAACTTTCAGCCTTTCCACTCCGGTGAAGAAGGAAGACCAGCGAAGCTGTACTATGGTGGGACAACCTCCAGGACGACTTCTTGGACAACCTCAAGACGACGCCTAGAGGACAATGTCTAGGACGTTGTCCTCTAGGCGTCGTCTAGGACGACCTCAAGGACAACTTCTAGGATAACCTCGAGGACGACCTCAGATACGATGTATAGGACGACCTCAAGGACAACGCCTGGGACGACCTCTAAAACGACCTTGAGGACGACGTCTAGGACGGCTTCAAGGATGACTTGTAGGACAACCTCTCGGACGACCTCAAGGATAACTTCTAGGACGACCTCGAGGACAACCTCGAGGACGACCACAAGGATAACCTTAAGGACGAAGTCTAGAACGACCTTGAGGAAGCTTTCTAGGACAACGCTTAGAGAAATTCAGCCTTTCCACTCTCGTGAAAACCACAGTGGAAAGGCTGGAAAGGTTGCCGCCATCTATGAGCGACAACGGCAACTAGACAACTGGCAAGCAGGTTGTCTGGTTGCTGACATTGCTCAAAGATGGTGGTAGCTGTCCAGAGTTTTGTGTTGACATTTCTTCAGTGACGGACATGAAACTGGGGAAACTAGCCCTTAACAGCTCCGCTGTAAAAAGAACTGGTGAGATCGACACACCAGAAAAAAGACCAACATTGAAAAACAGTGTAAGAAAGAAAAGAAACTTCTTTGTTAAATTTTGTTTGTTTATACCTTTATTTGAGACAGAACTGTACAGAAACGTCTCAGGGCTATGCCCCGAGACATTTCTGGGCCATGCCATCCTTTTGGCAGCAACGGTAGCAAAACATAAAACACAAGAGTGGCATGATTTCACTCCAAAATAAAAATGTATACAAAACAAAACACAATCATAACAAAACAGCAGTGCCTGAACAGAAATTTTCTAATTATTGGTTGCAAGTAACACGTGTAATGGCAACCCAGGACTCTGAAATATGGATTCATAATAGGTCCCTAAGTTTCCCGGATTAGAACCTTAGAGAGGGTCAAAAACGACAGCGCAGTTCTTGCATGCACTGACAAAACTGCCCATCAGCTGCGACAACTCCATGCGGTCTACAACGTCTTGATGAACATGTGCCATGCAGCTTAGGCGTATCTCCCCCCATGGTACTCCACAGCAATGTCTTTAACCTTATCAGGGCACTGAACAATCGTTCCACCTCACAGGAGGAGACTGGCATCACCAGGATGACCCTGAGGACACTCTCTACATCTTTGAAGTACAAACGTGTCGACTCATGCATGTTCCAAATTGCCGCTGCCAATTCGTCGATAGATCTTAGATCGGAGTGCTCTTCGTGCAACAGGTGCATGCGAAACACGACTTTATTGGAATCAATGCCTTTGTACCGTCGGATTACGTCCACATCTGCTTCCGATTGCATGTTAAAAAAAACACTTTCCAGCGCCTTATATGTCACAAATTCCTTCCGCGTCGGGATTAAAGCACCTCTTAATGACCGACAGTGCTGCATCAACTACTGAAAAAAATACATTCCAAAAATAGGTTCTCACTTTAACTGGAAGGTCACTGCATGTACACTGCCATTCTCAGCAGCTTTGGCGACCTGTTCAAACAGTTCATCAAATATTTCTTCAGACCGAAGCTGGTGCAACTTGCACTTGGCAGACTCCACCACCTAGAGCATTCCCTGAACTGTCGACGAACGTCCTTGTAGGTATGTGTGTAGGTCCTCAAGCACTGAGAACACCCTCAAAGCAATTTCCAACAGAAGGCGCATGTTTCCCAATTCCATGGCGCGTAGGATACCACCAATCTTAGCAGACTGCTCGGTCCAATGCTTCTTTCATCGTTTCTTCTAGGGAAGCAATTATGGCCTCTTGCTCGTCCAGCGCTGCAGATATCGCTGGTCTTCTGCATAAGAAGTACATTTGGCATAGGGTTTTGATGTTTTTACCCAGCTTTCTTTCGCAAAAAAATCTGCTTAACTTTCCAGAACGTGCTGAGAGCACGACAATTCCCTAACGGCCATGAGCGCATCTTGAAGTTCTGGACAGCAGTTTGAGACGTCAGCAGCTACAAGGTCGGAACTGTGGGTTCCGCAGTGCAAGTAAATAGCAAGTGGGTTTTGTGATTTTATAATTGCTTGGCATCCATTTAACTCCCCGCTCGTGTTGGCGGCCCCGTCGTAAGTCTGCACACGGCAACCAGAGAGTGGAAGCCCAACTATATTCAAGAAATCCACCACGGCTTCTACAATCGTGGCTCCCTTTCTATTTGGCGGGGTACAGAGCCCTAGAAAAACTTCAACTGGTCTGAGGTTCTCTTCCACATAGCGCACGGAACACC